CTTTAGTCATTGAGGCGGGAAGCGTGGAGAAGCCTGGAGACGCTGAGCGCATCGGCGTGCCACCTACCTTCCCATAGACAGGGTGCCGCAGCATGTCCTGCGAAGGGAAACCCGTTAGCTTGACTCCGGCCAGACACAAGCCACACCTAACCACCACCAAGGCTTCATCACCATTTGGCCTCATCTGGAGTACTGTGTCCAGTTCCGGGCTCTCCACTTCAAGAAAGAAGAGGAGCTACCGGAGAGAGTCCAGCGGACAGCTACGAGGATGAGGAGGGGACTGGAACATCTCTCCTACGAGGAGAGGCTGAGGGAGCTGGGCTTCTTCAGCCTGAAGAAGAGAAGGCTGAGAGGGTGTCAGGAGGATGGGGCCAGACTCTTTTCAGTGGTGCCCAGTGACAGGACAAGGGGCAATGGGCACAAACTGAAGCAGAGGAAGTTCCAGCTGAACCCAAGGAAGAACTTCTGTTGACGTAGCCCTGCCCCAGGCTGCCCAGGGAGGTTGTGGAGTCTCCTTCTCTGGAAATATTCAAGACCCGCCTGGACAAGGTCCTGTGCAGCCTGCTGTAGGTGACCCTGCTTAGTCAGGGGGGTTGGACTAGATGACCCACAGAGGTCCCTTCCAACCCCGAATATTCTGTGATTCTGTGATCAACAATGACTTCTGCCCGTGCAGCCAAAGAGCCCCACGCAACTCGAGGAGAGCACGGGCCGGTGTTTTTTATTTTAAGCAAGAAGAAACTAATGCCAATTACTCTCTGGAAATCCCATCTTCATTCCTGAGCCTTTCCATCTTGCTCTCATCCCAGAGAAGGGTTTGCAAGCTCATCTCAGGGAAGTATCTGCCCTGGTGATTAAAAGAGGTCTCCAGCGTCAGGGAGGACACCGGGCTGGAGATATTTTGGTGCTGTTGGTAAAAGCTGAGGACACCCTGGAGCATCACCTGACTCCAGGAGCTGAGGGCTGGAGAGGAGAAACCCAGTGATGGTGGGTCTCCCAGAAAAGCGAGGAGAGCTGACAGCACCTCCAGCTTCAGGCACGGAGGGTAGAT